TTGTGAAACAAATGAATGACGGTGTTCCTGAGGGCACCCAGCTCAGTCCTGAGTTCAAGGGAGCAGTCAGACAGCCCGGCCCTAGTTGCCACTGAGAGCCACCCAAGGCCAAGAAGAAGCTCACTGCTGGCACCCAGCTCACTGGGAACCACTATTCTAGGAGAAGCCACTGCAGTGGAAGGAGTTGGACTCCTCTGATGCCACCATTATGCTAGTACTTTCGCTGTTGCTATAATAAAATACCTGAGGCTGACTAATTTTATAAATATAAGAGGTTTTTATATCTCATAATTCTGGAGGCTAAACATTCAAACTGCTTGGTGCTGGCCTCAGCAAGGGCCCTTGGCTGTATCACATCATGGTGGATGATATCATGACAGCAGGAGTATGAGCAAGAGATCACATGGTTAGACAGGAAGCCAGAGCAAAGCAGGGACTCTTCATATCAATTTGCTCTCACCAGAACTAGCTCAAGGTCCCACTAGAGCTTCCTTATTCCTTCTGAGGCCATGCCCCCAATGACTGAAGGACCTCTCCCTATAGGCTCTGCCTCTGAAAGACCTGTCACCTCTTACATCACCACACTGGGGACCAGGCCCTCCCACACGAAGCATAGCAGCCTCATTGTGAGGATGCCTGTGCCGCCTACTTAGCCTAGAGAGGAGGAAGACCCAGCCAGGCCTGGCTATTCTAGCTGAGGTATCTGGCACAGTGAAGAAGCTGTCCTGGACTTTGGCCGTTCTGAGCCCCTAGGTGATGACAGCCACTGTGGTCTCCTAATTGCAGCAACACAAATGACTCCAGCCCAGAACCACCTGCCAGGCTGAACCCAACCAGTCACATAGAACCACGAGAGAGGAAATAAGACAATTTGTAAAGCCAGGCTGTTCTGGGGCTGCTTGTTATGCAGCAGTGGACAATCAACTTGTATATCTTGTGCTGCTGGTATCAGCTAGGAGAACCAGGACACCAGGTTGATGTGTGCCTTCAGTATCAGCTTTCTCACAGACAGAACAGAGAGCAGGCTGCCCTCAGGGCCCAGAGAGTCCATGTGTCCTCTAAAATTGCCTCTCCATACTGGCTAAGAAGCTGATCCTGAGAACAGGTCCCCAAGTGGGGACAGCCTGCCCACTTCCAGGCACCCCCATCCTGGCCTAGATTCTGTCTCCCAAAAAGTGAGGTCAGGAGGCCGCAGAGCACTGCCAAGCCCCAATGTGGCCGGAGGAGGTTACCTTTAAGCTCAGGGAAAATAGTGAGTGGCCATAGCCAGCTAAGCACAGGAGTTAAGAGGGTCTCGGGACCCAGGGAAAGCCTGGACATGGCCACAGCTGTACACTGGTGAGCAGGGACTTGTCTCCTCCAACAGGGTTGAGGCCAGCTTCTGGTGTGTCCCATTCAACTTTGTATGTATGTTGGCACATCCTGTAACCTCAACACTGAGGACACTGAGGCAGGAGGACTGCAAGTTTGAGCCCATCCTGGGCAATTTAGCAAGACCCTGTCTCAAAACAAAAAAATAGAAGGGGCTAGGGATATAGCTCAGTGTGCAGGCCCTGAGTTCAATCCCCATTACCAGGGGGTGGAGGCAGCCCTGGCACATGACTCAGACCAACCTGCTCCCTCAGAGGGATCCTCAGGGAAGCATGTCCCCTTAGGGCCCCTCACTGCCAGGCCTGGGTGACCCATCCAGCCTGCAACTGACCAGAGCAGGGTGTGGCACAGCAGTGGGGCCTGCCCACAGCTCCCTGAAGGCTTTCAATACCTTTGCCGGAAGAATCATTTTCTAAACCCCTTTTGCATAAATAATTTAGTATAAAAACACAGACTTGTCAGCCAGAAGGCTGAGGCAGGATGATTATAAAGTTTGAGGACATCTGAGGCTACAAAGGGAGTTCAAGGCTAGCTTGGACTACATAGTGTGAACTTGTTTCAGAAAACATCCGGAAAAACCGCACATACTTTGAGGGGCCATGTATCATACGTTACTGTGATGGCTACTGTGTTTGGGGTGATGATTACAGAAGTGCCCTGGAACTTCATATCTACTTAGGAAGGAAAATGAGTATGGTGAGCAGAGTAATGCCCCTGCCCTAGCAAAAAGAAACCCATGCCTCAATCCCCGGGACCTGGGGATCTGTTACTTGAGATGTTCGGGAGAGCAGGGACTCAGTTGGGGGTTCAGGGTGCAGCACAGTGAGTGGTGGAGGACTGGGCCCACACGGACACCACCCACCTCTGTGGCATGGGCAGGTGACCGTGTTTCCAGGTCTGGCGTCTGCAGGATGGGGACGTTCCCATCAACCTGAGGTGCACAGGGCCCTGTGGCCACTTACTGCCGCAGGGGCTAAGGTTCTCTGGGGCTTGAGATGATGCCTGTGTTCTCCAGTGCAGAAGGGCAGGGGCCAGGAGCATGATTCGTGCTTGGGGAGCAGCTGGGGTATGAGGGTCTGGGATCCCTCTGAGGGCTGGAAGTCCCATAAGGAAGGTGGGGTCTGGAAGTCAGAGCCCCTGGATAGAGGTGGGTATGCTGGCAGGTCAATGGTGACATGCTTGGGGTCAGTACCTGGAGGGCTGGGCAGGACAAGGCCTCAGTCGGCCCTGGGCACAATGGTCACTGAGAAGGCCTGGCCTTGGTCAAGGCGTCTCTTAGCAAGTGTAATACCAATCACCTCCCCAGCAGCAGGGATGATCCTGCAGGATATAGAGGGTTCAGGCCAAGAGGCAGAGTTCCCCCCGGTGGGTGACCAGGGAAGGGCGAGACCCAGCCACGCTGACTCCTGTGGCCACTCTTTGGCTTCCATGACATCTAGCCTCTTATTTATTTATTTAAACACAATTTTTTTTTTCTTTTGGTACTGGGGGTTAAATCCAGGTCCTCTGCATTGAGCTACATCCCCAGCCCCTTTCTATTTTTTATTTTGAGACAAGGTATCACTAAGTCACTAAGTTGCCCAAACTGTGCTCCAACTCATGATCTTCCTGCCTCAGCCTCTCAGAGGGGAGGGATTACAGACTTGTGCCAATGCACAGGCTGGCTCTGTTGCTTTTCTTGTGTGGCAGCACATCATGATGGGAAGCATGTGAGGCAAAGGTGCTCACCTCAGGGAAGCCAGGAAGCAAAGAGAGAAATAAAAAGCACAGGGTGTGTGTGGAGGGGTCCCAATATCCTCTTTGAGGCCATGCCCCTAATGGCCTAACTTACTCCCGCTAGGTTCCACCTCCTAAAGGAGAAAACCTTCAATGAATGGGTCTTGTGGGGGATTTCAGCAGGGTCATGCAGGGGATATCTGGTTCTTCATGAGGAAAGGTGGGAACGGAGAGTCAAGTTAAATATTTCCATGGAAACCACACCTATGCACGTAATGCTCTGGGCCTGTCAGACCTGTGTCACAAAACCTTGTTTCACCAAAAGCCTCCACGAGGGAACTTGCCTGTGGTTCTGAGCCCTTTCTCATCTGAGAAGGGGTGGCCTGGCTCCTGGGGATAAAGAGCTTCTTTCTAAACAGATAAACCGGGATGGCCCCAAAATTGACATAGCTCATTAGTGGGAAAGACAAATTGGTCTGGTTGAATTTGGTATTTTTCCCCAGATGGCATTCATTTCAGGAGACAGTCTGCACGTCATTGCTGTCTCTCATTTGCTGAGACAGATTTCCCACAAACAAGAGTGTGTTTCCATCCGGAGCAGCTCTCTGTCTTGGCCTTGTTTTGGTCCCTCTTTCGCATCACCCCTCTCCTTTGCTTTTTTTTCTTCATCCTTTTTGTCTCAGATTTTCAGGGCCAGAGGAAAGCCTCATCTCACATCTCGATTCTGCAAAGCCCATCCCTGGTGAGTGGATTTGCAGCCCTTGCTTACATACCTCCCCTGGCGGGGAGCTCACTCCTCTAAGCTGGCTTTGTTATTTGGATCCTCGTCTAATTCCCCCAGCTTCTTGGGGTCCCAGACTGCATTCTGTCTGCTCCTTCTTCCTTCAGACAAACACTGATCCTCCCCCTACTTCATCCCCAAGTCCTCTTCCTCCAGGAAAACTGTTTTAGCTTCTCTGTTCATTCCTCACACCACACTGCTGCTAATCACTGGAGCCAGGTCCACCGGGTCCTGTGTACATTCCAGTGTATTTGCCACCACTTGAGAGGGCTCAAATCAGAGGCAGGTGGGACCCGTATGACCTGGAAGTGTCATCAGACTCCTGAAGCCAAGGGTGCAGGCCCAGCTTGGCAGGAGAAACTGATCTTTGGATTTTGTGGATCTATATTAGTCTATTTTCTGTTGTAACAAAATACCAGAGGCGACAGAGAGAGAGAGAGATTGATTTTCTGCTGGGCACGGTCTTGCATACCTGTAATTCCAGCCACTCAGGAGGCTTAGGCAGGAGCATCACTAGTTCCAGCCCAGCCTGAGCAATTTAGTGAGATTCCATCTCAAAATAAAAAATAATAAAAGGGAGGGGTGTAGCTCAGTGGCCAAGTACTTGCCCAGCACGTGTAAACCCCCGGGTTCAAGCCACAGTATGAAAGAAAGAAAGGGGGCAGGGGAAGAGAGGAAGGAAGGAAAGAAAGGGAAGTTTAGTGTGCTCACAGTTTGGGAATCCAAGTCAGGCTGCCCGTGGGTTCAGCCCCTTGTGGCTGCATAGCAGTGTGGTGGCGGGTGGCATCGTGGTGGGACTGCACACTGCAGAGAGAAAGCAGTCACGTGGAGAGACAGAAGCCAGAGAGACTCACTCTATAACAACCCACTCTTGGGGGATCCGACTGAAGTCTGGGACAGCAACATTACTCCCTTCTGAATGTTACACTGGCACCTGGTGGCCAGACTGCCTTGTGCAAGGTCCCACTTCTCAAAGGTTCCCCCGACCCTCACGGCCACACTGGGACTAAGCTTCCGGGACATAGACCGGAGCTGGGGGACTCGCTTAAACCCTGTTCAAATCATGGCACTACTCCTGGAGGCCCAATTCTCCTCCCTGTCTTTCTTCCCTCAGCAAGGACATCAGCCTGCCAATCACAAGTCTCCTCCACTCTGGGCCTCCGAGGCTGGTGAGTCCTCGGACCCATAGCCCAGCTGGAGCTGGTGACAGCCTCACCGCACGCTCGGCCTCTTCCCCCAGCTCTTATGTCACAGCTTTGTCATCAGCCAGAGCTTGGCTCCCGACAGAAAAATATTTTAGGTAAAACTATGAAATAATGGAATATGAAATGCACTTAGTTAAAAAAAGAAGATGGCACAGAGGGACTGGGGTCATGCAAAGGGGCAGAGGTGGTGGCCTGCCCCTGTCCCTGCCCTGTCTCCTGGGGTTTCTCTCCTGTCTCGGGAGCGAACACATGTCCCTCGGGCCAGCATTCTGTGTGGCAGGCAATAGAAACCAGCTTTAAACAATTAAGTAGAAGCACGTTGAGATATCCCCAAGATCAGCGTGAACCTGGAGTGCTTCTGGGGTGCACCCAGAAGCACCACCCCAACTCCAGCATCAGCTTGACAAGGACCCCAGCTGTGCAGAACCCAGATGTAGCGGCTTGTGACACAAGTGTCCTCAGTGCTGGGCGCTGCCCTGTGGTCCCTGCTGCTTCCAGAAGCTGAGAGTGGCCGCCCAGCAGCCACCAGCCCCACCAGCTCGAATGGAGTTGGTCAGCACCTCCTTCTCCATGCCATGAGCTTTGTTTCATGTTCAGCATGATCAGGGCGCATTGGCTGAGCCAGGGCAGGATCCAGGCCCTGCCTGCAGGAAGGCTGGGAAAGTGCATTTGCCGTTTCACTTTCTGTGGACCGAGGAGGATCCCTAAAGAGTAAAGGGGCCCAGAGGCTGACTGACTCCTAAGAATGACAGATATTGACTATGTTGACATTTTGTGATTTATTGGTTGGGTTTTGCTGTTGTTGTTGTTTTTGGTATTAAGAAATGAACTCAAGAAGTGCTCTACCATGAGCTCCACACCCAACCCCACCCCCTTTTTTAAAAAAAAATTTTGACACAGCATCTTGCTAAGTTACCCAAGTGAGCCTTGAACTTGCAACCCTCCTGCCTCATTCTCCTTGGGAGCTGGGACTACAGAGGTTAGCCGCTCGGCCTAGCTATCGCTTTTTGATAATTTCCGAGGACTTCTGGGCCCGAGAAATAAAGATTTAACTTAACTTCTCTCCCGTCCCTGTCCTGCCTTCCAACATAGTCAGTCCACCATTTTATTGGGTCCATATGGTCTTCAAAGTGTCAATAGCTTTGATTATCGAGAGCCTGCAGCTGGAGGGCAGACGCGGAGGCTCCTTCTCCTACCTGTTCTCTTTTCCTCATCCTTCCCTCCCGGCATCTGTCATTTGCACTCCTTCACTGCGGTGGTTGAAAGATTTTACGTTCCCTAACCTTCATTAAGTCTTCTTTCTTCGCTCTGTCTGGGGGGCCGATTATGGAAGCTGGAAATAAATAAGTGCTTGCAATGGCGGAACTCACTGCGAAGCTCATGGTGATCTAGGCACGCTGTTTTCTTTAGAGTCCAGACTTTATTTTTTCTGGCACTTTCTAAAAGCTGTTCTTTTGCTTACATTTATTGTGTGCTAAGTTCCTGGTGATGTTTCAGGGATGCTACCAAATCTGGGGTACACAGTTCTCCCAGGACTGCTTCTCATGGGTATCAGCTACTCCCCATCCTCCTTGCTTAACTGGACCCCGTCATCTGGGACGTCCACGTGCAACTCCTCTGGGGTGGGGCCACAGTTGCCTGCATCTTATTTCTTCTTCCTGAGTTTATTTGCTGTTTTCTTCCTCGGGGAGGAATGGGTAGGTGATAGACCTGCCAAGACTTTACCTATCTCAACCATTTGGTTCTCAGGGTTTCTTGCTAGTCTGGTTAGGTATAAAACACTAGGTTAAGAATAATCATCCCTCAGAACATGGAAGGCACCCAGCTTACCATTTCCATGGCTTCTCTGCCCCTCTTCGATGATAGCTGTGTTCCTTACTGTGGTCTGACTCCAAGGATCTGCACCATAAGCCCTGCTAACCTCCCAGCCCAGGTCTTCATTCTCTGTATACTTTACTTTCAGACCCACCCAACTGGGTGCCCTTGCAGAACCCATGGGGGTTCATCCTTCAACTGAGAATTCTCTTTCTTCTCTTTTGCTTATTTAAACTCTGCTAGTCCTTAAGTCCTCTGAAAGACATTGCTTCCTGCAGGAAGGGTCCCCCATCCCATGCTATGGGGCTGCCCCTCCTTTGTGCCCACAGCATGTGGTCCTTGGCACGTAACGGCCTGTGCTCTGTGGATGGGCCTGTTCTGGGCAGTGCCTAGAATGTTTCAGATGCTCATGGGTGAACGCACAGAGTTGCTGAGTTGTGGCTGCAGGGTCTGGGAGTTGGGTAGGGTATAAGGAATCACAGGAAGAGATAGGCAGCGTGGTTGGCTGACGTGCTGGGAGTGCCGTGGGTGGGGACAGAAATCCTAAAGTGTCCCCTTGTTCCTGTTGGTCTGAAGACCATCAACTCTTTCATCCCCTTCTTCCTAGAACCCACTTCCCTCTCCCCCCATAGCTCCACGTAAGGTCTGACCTGCCACAGTGCCAGGCTAGGTCTGGAGGCAACAGGAGGGGTTTGAGGAAGGGGTGGGCTGGCTTCGATCCCACTTTACAGTTGGGATTGGCCATTCCCTGGCTGAGACAGTGTCGGACAGGGCACTTTGGGGGTTAGCAGCTTCAGGTGGCTACAGCAGCTTGGCAGGGGCGAGGGTGTTCAGCCCCTTAGGGCAGGTGGGGAGGCTGCAGGGGGTGCCCTCAGAGGATCTTTGAAGTCCCTTCCCTTCCTATGGGGTGCATTTCACCTTGGTAGACACCTTTTACAACCATGATCATTGAGTTAAGGAGTGATCTGTACACAGTTAAATGAGCCCAGTTCAATGCTCAGTGAAATAGTTTGGGCCAACACATACCACAGTGACCAGTGCCACAGTCAAGACCTAGAGTCCTTACTTCACCCAGAAAATTCCCTCGGACCCCTTTGCAGTCACCCCCCCACACACACCCTGATGACCAGTGTGGTCTGATTTCTCTCTACCAGGACCAACTTTGCTGTTTGGGGGTGGTGTTTGTTTGTGACATTCCTACCTTCTTCATTATCTTTTAAATTTTGGAGACAGTCTTGCGAAGTCGCTGAGTTGCCCAGGCTAGGCTCAGACTTGCAATCCTCCTGCCTCAGCCTCCCAGAATGCTGGGATTCTAGGTGTGCACCACCAAGCCAGGCTGTTTTGTAACTTTATCCACTGTTTGGTTTATCTTTTAAACACATCAGTGTGCTCATGTCCTCTGGTCACCCAGAAGAAATGGGTGAAATTTACACAAAGAAATGTGCACCTGTATGTTCTTAGCAGCACGATTCATAACAGCCCTGAACCGGAAACAACTTATACGTCCACGGTGAAGGAGCGGTCTGTGATTCGACCACAAAGAGAATGAATTGTGGATGAGCCCCAAGAACATCATGGAGTCAGGTCCAACGGCGTGTGCCTGTAACCCCAGCACTCTGGGAGGTGGACACAAGGTTGGAGGCCTCCCCCTGGGCAACTTAGTGATTTAGCAAGATCCTGTCTCAGAATAAAGAACACAAGAAAGGGCTGGGGATGTAGCTCGGTACAAAGGCCTTGGGTTCAATCCCAGTGTTCCTTTCCCCCAAAATGCTCAGAGAAACAAGCCAGGCACCAAGCCAGTGTATGGTCCCATTGTATGGGCAGATTGGTAGAGACAGGAGGTCATTTTTCTTTCTTCAGGAGCTGGGGAGGGAGGAGGAAGAGTAACATTTAATGGGGATGGGGTTTCTTTTTGAGGTGCTGAAAATGTTCTAAAATGGAAAGCGGTGATGTTGGCACAGCTCTGAGTATTATACTAAAGCTATTGAATTTTACCCCTTAAATGGATGAATTGTATGGTATGTGCATCATATCTCAATAAAGCTGTTGCAGAAAGAAAGAAAGTAAAAAAAAAGCCAGGGATTTAGCTCAGTGGTACTGTGCCTGCCTCACAAGCTCAAGGTCCTGAGTTTGATTCCAAAAAAAAAAAAAAAAGGTTAGGAGCTCCTGGACCCCTGGACCCTTGGATATTACAGGCTGTTCCTTTGCTCTTGTAAAGGTGCCAAGAAACCCTAACCCTAAGTGTGAGCGCTGGGGTAAGGAGCTCCGGCCAGGAGCCTTGACTTGCTGTGTGTGCTTGGGGAGCCCACACCCTCTCTGAGCCCCTGGCTCCTGCAGGAGCCCTGAGAAGCAATGTGGGAGTGGACAGAGCTCTCAGAGTGGTCCTTGTGGCAGGACTTCTGTCTGAGACCTTCAGCTGGACCTGTTCCAGGGGCCGCTCCGCGATGCTCTATCTTGGAGCATCGTCAGGGGCCTGGGGTGCCTGTCCCAAGCCTGCAGAGTGTAAGAGGAAATTACCCACGCAGAGCCCTGGGTTGCTGGCAGGCGGATCCCATCCCAAGTGATTTAGCCATCTTTTTTTAGCTGATGTTTTCCTAACAACCTACAGGGAGCTTTAGTCTCCTCCTCCCCTAATCCTCTGCTTTGCACAAACATGAAATTAATCTTCTAAATACCCAAGCTGGTTCCAGGGAGGAGTGAGCAGGGAGGGAGGGTGGTGAGGACGGAGGGGAGGCCCAGGCCCCTCCTCTGAGGTCTCTGCCATGTCTGCTCGGAGCGGGGTGACGCTACAGTGCCATCCCCTGTTAATTCTTGCCCTGTAGAACTCAGGCTGGACACCCACCCGTCACCTGCAATGGGATCCACGGGGGTGTCCTGGATGCACCGCCCCTGAGTCCTTATGAACTGTGTCTCCCCCACAGTGGCTTCGCCCCATCGGGGTCCCACCAATGTACCCACTCCCCAGGGATCCACTGTCCCACCTCTGTCACCTGTCCCTATGTGGCTTCCTCAGTCGTGTCTGGGTCACCAGCTCTAGTCTGGCTCTGAGGTCTGTGAGTGCCCCTGGATTTCTCTGTCCCATCCTGGGAGGTTACAGAATGTAGGAGGTGGGGCTCAGTCAAAGGGAGTTGGTCGTGGGTCCTGAGGGGTGTCACACACCCCTTCCTGGCCACCCCAAGGTGAGCAGCTTCCCTCCACCATGCCCTTCTGCCATGATGCTCCTGCATAGCGACTTGGAGACCTCTGAAACCAGGAGCCCAGTTCAACCTTCTTCCTTTTG